ACTATACATTCTCAAACAACACACACTTACACTATACACCCTCTCACAACAAACATTTACACTATACATTCTCAAACAACACACACTTACACTATACACCCTCTCACAACAAACATTTACACTATACATTCTCAAACAACACACACTTACACTATACACCCTCTCACTACACCCACTTACACCATACACCCTCTCACTACACACACTTACACTACATATACTCTCTCATAACACATCCTCTAACAGCAAACACTTACACTATATTTCTCACTACACACACTTACACTACATATACTATACTCTCTCACGACACATACTCTCACAACAAACACTTACGCTATATATACACTCTCTCACTACACACATTTACACTAGATACACTCACGCTACACACACTCACATACTCTCATACTACACGTACGCACACACACAATCACTCACCAAATTAGCCCCTCAAAATAACCCAGCTAAACGATCTATAGCTCCAACTCCCAAAACCCTTTATTTTGCCAGGTGATTTAACTTCCACAGCCCCCTTTGGGGAGATAAACCCACAGGTCAAAAAAGAAAAATAATCGAAGATTTCTTATTTCAAAATAACATCTGCCTCTTGAATGATAGGTCTCCCACTTACAGAAACAGAGCCTCTTTTGGCCTTTCATCTCTTGACCTCACCTTTTGTACCCCAGACCTAGTAGGCTACCAGAACTTGAGTCATCTGAGCTGGAAGACCGTACGTATCATTTCCCAATTCTTTTAAGTAAGTCTACTTTCGGACATTAGTAAAACAACTAACTACTCGACTGGACTCACTAAAGATAAAAAAGTAAACCTCATGTTGTTTTGTAGCCCGGTCAATTGTCTTTTATTTCCAATACAGTATCGCGATGACTGAAACAAACACTTTACTAAGGTGCTTTTGGACAGCATTCAATTAGACTTACTTGTGGCCAGAGAAAATGATCCCTAACTTGTCTGCATCACTGGTGCAGGAAAAGAACAAGTTTGTTCATCTTGTGACGAACAGAGCCAGTGTTATGCTGAATGTGTAACGTAAAAAGTACACTGTTTGAAAAACAAATTTTACATGCCCATTGCCATTGTGAAAAAAAAAGATCTAGCTGCTAGTCAACCTTAATTTCACATGACCCAGTGCCTTACGAGGGGGGGGGGTCAAGAAATCTTTGGTTTAAGTATGAAGGAATAAAGATAGAGCTTTGGAACTTGGCACACATACTTTTATTTCTATATATATAGTCACTAAGCAGAGTAACACATCTCTGCCACCTTTCTTTGACCTTCAAATGTCTTTGAGAGAAAAATGACCCAGAATGGGCCCCTAACCAGCCTTCAACATCAACAGCTTCAATGGCGCACTCGTTGTCATGGAATTTACGTCCTTTGAGTGATTATTTAAGATTAAGAAACAGGAAAAAAGTCTGAGGGGGGCTAGGTCTGGTGAATAAGCTGGGTAAGGCAGGATTTCAAAGATACACTGTTCTGCTGTCTGGACTGCTTGTTGTGCCCAGTGCGCAGGGGCGTTGTCATGCAGTAAGAGGATCCCATTACGGAGTTTTCCACGCCTTTTTCTCACCATTCACATCGCAATTTTATCTGCAAACCCGAGCAGTAGTCTCCTGTTTTCCATTTTCCAAGTAGTCACAATCCCAGAAACATGATAGCATGGCCTTTCCACCTGAGTTGACGGTGTTATCTTTGCCTTCTTTGGTGAGGGAGAAAAGGGGGTTTTCCATTGCATGGATGACATTTCGTATTCAGGATCAAAATGATAAATCCGTTTTTCATTGATAGTAACCATGTTTTTAACGAAATGTGTGTCATTGGACTCAATTCGAAAGAGTTTTGCTGGACTCAACCCTCTGCTTCTTTTGCTCGCTTGTCAAAAGCCGCGCAGACACCTTATTGGTGATCGTGGAGAATCATTTCAATTGACCCTACACTGATTTTCATTTCACTTGAGAGCTGTTTAACTCACATAAACTAAATTTTCAAACTAGCTGTATGCCAAATTTATCTGTTCCATTTGAAAGGCCTAGATCCACTGAGCATTTTGGTACCATTCTTTAACCTCTCCGTCAATTTTTAAGAAAATTGTAGTTGTTTAAAATTTGATTAAATTTGTAAAGTCAGTCACTGGCTGCAACCCCAGGTTTGACAGACAATAAAAAAAAAAGTAGGCCTACCAAGTGCACTAAACATCTCCACATTAACACAGTACAATCACTATAACAAAATATGGAACCTAATTTTTTTCAAGACTGAGATCTTTACAAATCAGTATTTTATCGCCTCAAACACGATGATCTGTCGTTATTTCCACAAAAACACCGAGCGTTGACCCGGCGGCGCAGCACCGGCCCCGCGGCGAGCGAGTCGGCTCTACACTAGGGCAAACACGCTCGTGCTCACAAGACCCTAGTTCAAGTCACAAGCCTCAAATCACTAGGTCAAATCATCAAATCAAATCACCAGCATGATACGTTGAGTCTAGCCTCAGCTTCAAGTACCCACACCAACTTGCAATCCGCGAAGCCACTCGTGTCTGACCCCCTCTTCCTTCCCCTCCCTGCTTGCAATCCGCGAAACCACTAACGTCAGAAAGAGAGAGAGACCCCGCGCACTGTGTCACTGCGCCACAAACTAGTCTGTTCGATTAATCGAAGGCATACGAGCAGCGGACGGCAGGCAACACTCAAATCGCAGCAAAGCAAAGCACTTGGTCCCAAGACCTGCTTTGCGTCTCGTATTGCCTTGTGCTAAGGGCTTGCTCTCGTGCCAATAAATCTGCTTTGAGTCCAACTACCGCCCTGGCAGGACAACACCGCTCGTCAGGACAACACCGCTCGTCAGGCAAACACCGCTCGTCTGCACCAGGCCTCAAGATCTACCGGTAATCCACCCCGCTCGCGACGTGAACTCTGAACTCTGGACGTGGAGGAAGCGAGAGGCAGCGCTGGTTTTGGTGCAAGGCGAAGAGGGCTGTAATAGCCAAGTGCAGACCGTTCGCGACATCGGTGCTTTAACAGTGAAAATGTGACATCTCTGTAGGCTCACATTTTGTTATGAGCTGTTTTCACTGGTACTAAAAATGGAGATACGACAAGAAAGCACTGGGGTTGCGGTATGCTAAACTATTTAGGACGCAGAATAAAGGTGTGAACACTTACAAACAATTTTTAACTGTCAAAATATATCAGTATTGTTAGCATCCCGTGGCTTGTAATTTAATCACTCGCCTAAACTACACTT